TGATTAATACCTTTAAAAGTGACGGGTGTATGGCAGTCTTCACCTGTATACATCTTGTATATTGCCCCCAAGGCAAGTTAATATCTCCATGTCATTATATATATGGCGTCTAGCTCACCAGGCCTCACAGATGCCTATGTTTATAATACATTGCCTTGGAGCTGTGCGTGATATCTACAAAACTCTATGGCAGTCGAGGCTAATATAACGTAGAGTTATATGCATGATATGGCTCACCATTGAGTTACCATTCAACTCAATGGTCGCACTCTAATACATGGTTCCCGACCGTACATCTGCATACATGTGTGTGTGTGCGTGTGTGTGAGGACGGGTGTGCTTGTGGGTGTGGGTGAAAACACCACTCCTCAAAATATGTAATAATGTTCAGAATCTGTGAGGATTTCTTAATTAATTGGGACTCTGGTCTCTGGGTGTGTTGGAGTAACGAAAAGAATAATTGTTTCATATCCCAATTTTTCATTAGGTCGTAAATGGGTATTACTCAGCATTGGTATATACATAAGTGTGTGTGAGGACGTGTGTGCTTGTGGGTGTGGGTGAGAACACCACTCTTCAAAATATATCATAATGTTCCGAATCTGTTAGGATTTCCTCATTGATTGGGACAATGGGTGTGCTGGAGTAACGAAAGGGATAACTATTGTTTCATACCCATTTTTTGCATTAGGACGTAAAAGGGTATTACTCGGTATTACTCAGCATTATTGGGGGCCTGGGGATGAGATGAATAATCCATCGAAATCATCATTGATTATATATCAATGATGATTTCGATGGATTATTCATCTCATCCCCATATATAATATATATATATAGACAGTGGAAATTAAGGATATTATAACATTTGTTTCCAATGACATGATTTGAGATAACCAAGAAGACGTAGAAAGCAATGGAAATTATGAGGCAAATTTTCCTTTGAGCAAACTAAACGATGGCCATTTTGCTTGAAACGCTCTACCAAAAGATTGTTCAATATGCTGTATTATGCCGTGACGTATCATTCCCATTTTGACTTGGAAATGTTGAAGAGTGCCTTTGAAATTTTGCACCGTGTAATGTTTACTCTCTGAATCTCCTGCGTTTTCCACACGTAATGTCGTGGTCAGATTGAAAGAAATTAATATATTCGTTACTATGGTCACCATGACATACAATGACAGCTATAGCAATATGCTAATGAGCTTTCACAACTAAATCTTGTATCATAGACGTGATATTATATTGCTCATGTTTTACACTTCATTTCTCTCTATTTTCATAATACCATCAGAGTACGGGATTGAAAATGGAAATGGACAAAGGAAAACAAAATTACATCGGACCGGTAAAACATAATTTGCCGTTTCCTTCTTTTCGAACATGTTCGGTACTCGTTTTGCAATACATGGTTTTCCAACACATCATTCACGTTAAGCACACGATTCAATATAGAAAGGGCTTATGAGGGAACGTGTGTGCTCATGGAGTATGAGTTTTACACTTCCCAAACAATTACATGGGAATAACACTTTTTCTTCTATCCATACTTTTTTCCCCAATAAATATTGGAAATCAAAGTTAAAAAATCCGTTGTTGCATAGCCAATCTATTTTATTTTGTTGAGTATTGCAGGCAACTTTATTTTGAAATTGATTTTGTTATATTTATATACAGCAAATACACCTTGCTGAGTCTGTGTTTTGACGCGTATAACGTAACTAACCTGTACCCTACATATATCATGTCCATTTCAAATTATGTCTAAGCGATAATTCATCTGGGTAATAGCCAAATAATAATCTTGGACACGAGCGGAGGATAAATATAGAGTTGCACAAGTACTTTCCCAGACAAATGTAATGTCATTTGTCGACTATTAGCAGTAGCAGTGTTTCGGGCAGGCAGCTGCATCAATGCATGCCAGTTTGTCAGCTTGTCATAATGAAATGATTTTGTTTGATTATGATAATAAAAGTGTGTTCTTTCCGACGCATCTATTATGCACTGAATAGGTCAATTATATCGGAAGCGATGAAAAGCGTGCATGCTGAAAGGAGGGTATAAAAATAAGCCTATTCTTAACTGGCAATATTGATTCCCTGGCAATATTAATTGCTTGGCAATGGTTCATTAATTCTACGTGTATTTGAAGTTTTGAATTAAGGTGTCTGAGTGAGAATAATTTGAGAGATTTACAGATGAATTCTATATATGGTTCTGACATTTACGAATGTACAAATCGTTCGTACAACATTATGGATTTTGTTCCCAACACTGGATAAAAAATACTTTTTTTTCCTTCTCATTTTAACTGTAAGTTTTAAACATATATACCCTGTACTCTGTAGTCAAACTAGTCTTTTTCTCATTTTTCACATTAAGTTCAAAACAAAATTGGTAATCCATTTTAGATCAAAATTTAAGAGTATGTATTTGGGAACAAATTTATATTACAATACATTCAGCTACCCTTACATACAGTTGAAAGTATTTAATGACTGACGATGGGCTGTTCTTATTACAAGCAGTTAGTTTGTGGCATGGGGCCCATGGTTTGACAATCTTCACGCTGTCATTAAGGCCTTTCAAGTCATTCTCCTCTCAATAGTCTTGGATTTCCTGAATGTATTCGTGCAGGAAAGCACAAATCAAATCGCAATATGATATGACCCGGGTCCCAGCAGGCAGTCAGGTATAACACAATCTAAAAGAAGGTTCTACGTTGAGGTCAGTTTGAGAAGTGCGGAATACATCCTTTCCTTATTGACACCCCATAATCAAAATAATTCAATCAATTAGACAAGTGGGGTCGTCGCAATTACATGCTCTGAATAGGAGTATTCTAAGGTCACAGACCCGGTAGATAGGATGTGCTACATAGGATGTTATACACTACCATCCCAACATCATACATAGGCCCCATGCTTTTATATGGGGTTAATTTCGAGTTCTTGAATACCCTTTTGTAATGAGCATATTTGCATTGCCTTTTAAAAACCACACGGTATTTCATGGTGTTCCCCTAAACTCCTTTGGTGAGGTTCTAAATTTAAAATAGTAATTACTTCGGAATGTTTTATACATCCAATTCAAACATCTGTATTAAAATATCTGTCTCATATATCAATTATAGAACACAGCTTTTAGTACTGGTCATTTGATCACTTTAATGTCAAATACATTCCTTTTCTAATGGCATTTTTCAAGAATGTTATTCAAATCGACATGAATATGGCCCCAAACCTTTAGCTACATAATATAGTATCTGTAAGCAAATTAATAGGCATATTTTTATTTGGGGGAAAGGCTTCTATCATAATTTTCCTTGTCATTTTCTCTGTAAATTCAAATCATAACCTAGTTCAAAATACAGATTCCTTTAAACTTCCAAAGACAATTTATATGCTTTTTTGTTAGTTAAAACTTATTCAAGGTCTGTGTGAAAAGCCTAATGACATGAGATGACATTCGAGAAGGAACAGATAGTGGATACATTTCAAAGGGCGCGTCATTGTCGCCGCCCATGACTTATGCTAGCTAGCAATGATTAATGCACCGCAAAGATGATACTCCCTTTATACCCAGATAACCAACTCTTCAAAATCCCTCCCAAATTAACCATGCCTGCCTGATATATTACTGCTACACGGATGTTCAAATGTACTATAATACATGAGATCGGGGGGGGGGGGGGTTATGAATACATGTTCATATTCAAATTAAAAAAATACCATACCGATTGTTTTCATTATTGTATGTTGGAAATGCTAAATATCTGCTAAATATAGGCCTATATTCCAATCTTTACCTTTAAAGTACAAAGATCATTAGATTAAATGTAAACGTCAGTTTTAAAGTGTACTGTCCGGGCTAACATATCATTCGATGAGTCATCTCTATGTTTTGTTGACAAATAGTCTTAAATAGTCATTATCAACAACTCAGTGGGCATATTGTACAGATTCTAATGTCGAAATTATAATGTGGCATAATGAGGCCTATACGTCATACAGTTGGACATTGTATACAAGTACGTCTACTGTTCTGATGCCTTAGCCAATGTATTATTAGATGTATCCATGAAACTCATCATCTCAAGAATAAATCGCATAAAACATGCAGTAATGTGGACAATTTAATCCACATGTCATTACGAACGAGTCGTATCGATTTGTTCATGCTAATGAGCCTACAAACTCCCGCTTGTTATGATAATAACTTGACTGAGTGACGTTCCTATTTTTCTGTAATTACTGTTCGGGCATGGTCGACCACAAAATATGCGGTAGCAACAAGAAATGCATATATTTCAATGAGAAATTGAGTGGGATCTTATTGCCCATTATTGCTGTGTCTTTGTTGCATTCAAATGCAAATTGACCACAGCGAATATTTAATGAAGGCCGCCAATGCGCAATAGCATGGCATGCACATCAAAATGGGGATACATTGCTTTGTTTGACGGAGATGGCTTCTAGCCTCGCATCAGGCTTTGTGACGTCTAATACTTTATTCATCTTCTCATTAACTTACATAATGTTGGTGTTATAATTATTGGAATTGGATTATAAAATAGTAAAGTGTTAAATGTTGATGAGCCTGAATATGCAATATCAGCAAAATAGTCTCGACCTACATGTACGCAATGCAGAAGAAAACATCAAATCAAATGTCTGAAGGAAGGCTAAAATGAGAATCTTCTTCGCTTATCTTCCATCCTGACAATGACGTCATCTTGGTCAGAAAATATGATTGAAAATTGAAAAACACAGCCTTTAATGACCCAATGCCTGGCTTAGCATTATGGTGGATTTGCGTGGTAACGTATGCTGGCACGCCGTTGACCTCTTCCTAAAGGGCGAGCTCAGTCGAGTGTAGACATTTTGGTTTATGAGTCAATCTTTCCCATTTTTCAGCATAATTCTGTTAAAATATGGCGTTCATTAGATGAGGTTCATTTGAAATAAGCTCTCTTGCTTGTGATGACTTTTTGTGAGGGATGTACAGCCATTGGATGTTGTGTAATCAAATTACTAATAAGCGTGGATGGAAAAGTGATTAAGAAATGATCTACCGTGATCGCTTTTCTGATCACTCACAAACTTGTGCTAATGTGCACGGAGTCAAGAGGTACACAGCCTGAAGACTATAAACATAAATACATGTATATCCATGAACATAATGTGAAAGGAGAGAAATTACTATAAACATGACAAAAAAGGCTAACCATTCTAAATGAGTACATTTAATTTTAAACTGATAGAGATTTCTTTCTTGTCGCTTGGCCAAATTAAAGGATTAATGTCAAATAATGGATGAATTTTTGATATAGAAACATATGGACTAGCTGCTAGCGTGTGCCAGACTATTAAACCTTTTCACCTGCAGAACTATTCATGATCAAAGTTGCTAATTGCTATGACGTGACTATTTTGGTGTTTATGCTGTTATTTGTCATCAAACTGGGCACCAGGGCCAATTTTCCTCTTCTAACAAATATAATTATGAACATGCTGGTACGACCAGATAAAACCCACTAAACTTCTGATCAATTAAAGTGCGCCAAATAACATGTACTGTTTTTGTGATAATTATAATACAATAATATGAATGTATATCGATGTCTGTTCGTATTCTATGGAGTCACGGAATCAGTGCAAACCAATAGCAGAACTATGGAATAGAGGGGAAACGGTTCTCTCGAATTGTAATTGGAACACATATTCCTGCCCTGTATCAATAGAAGCATTCTTGTGTGTAATTGTAGGTGTGAAACTGCTTTTATACATGGGAGTTTGGAGTCTCTTTGCAGAACCACCAAGAGTCCAAATGAAGAAGGAAAAAATACACACACAATCTTGAGTAGATGGGACATGGGAATTGAACAACACAATAGACAGTCTTTTGTGATGGAAGCGTGACATTCAATGTAAACACATTACTCATCAACAATGAGGATTGAAATAAAGTTCAGCTGACCCCTGACCTTGTCAGTCATACAACCTGTATGTTAGTGCAGCCCTTTCTGAAGACACTCCTTATTAACTGTCAATTTTTAACATGAATGCATTTCATAACGCTTGTATAGATTCCCATACGAATCACTTGTACATCATATTCGTGCATGATAACTGATGGACAGGCTGTTGTCATATAAATCATGGAAGTATGATTCATTTCAATGTATTGATTGACATATTTGCCCTGAATATTCCTATCGCATAAAAAGGTATGATGAGTATGTTGGTACACACTGCACAACGGTGGTGTAGTATTTTGTCAAACGTATCGATTTATACGGTAATTGCAATCCAGAATGTGTGAAAGACAGAACGATCATAATTATGCTATACATAAACACACTATACTGATTAGTCAATGAATGGTATATGCAGTTGATTGGTAGAACTTACCTCTAGGCGTGTCTTTTCCAGCTCACGTTTAAATTCCTTTCGTGTCGTCTCCGAGTCGACGAGTTTCTTTCTCAGGAGCTGGTTCTCCTCCTCAGTCCTGGCCCGTTTCTCCTCCACCATCTCCAGCTCCTGGTGGAGCCGAATGGATACATCTTTGGCAATTTTAAGTTCTTGTTTGAGCCCTAGGATCTCCTTATCGACGGTTTTCTCCTCCTCCTCGGAACCGCTCCCTCCCGTTGAGGAGACCCTTTCACTAGACCCTCCCCCTCCACCACCTGTCGTGGTAGTACCACCACCACCACTGCCCAACCCACCCGCCCCTCCCGATTCCCCCACATGCCTCATATGTTGTTTCTGCATTTCATCCATCTGCATCATTAAAATTTGACATTTCTCCTCCCACTCCAGGCGCTCCTGGTCCGCCTGCTCCACCCTCCGATCGGCTTTTCTTAATCTGTACTGCAGGATCCTCCATTCTTTGGTTACCTGATCCAGCTCATGCTTGAGGTCACGGTACTCCTCAAGGTCCCCCTCCCTTACCCTATCAGCAGCCTCCTCTAGCTCCAGCTGGAGATCCTCAATCTCCTCCTTGTAGCAATCAATTTGCTCCCTAAGATCCCCAATCATGGTTTCAGCAGCCGTGACCCTTGCCTGCAGTTCAGACAAGCTTAGCTTCTCCAGATCGGGATCCATTGGTAAACATTGAGTACTTCCACTATCATCCATAGAACGCACACGTTTCTCTAAGGCGCCATATTTTTCCTCCCAAGCGCGTATCTCTTTTCGTAAGCTCTCCACCTCCGCCATTCCAGCGCTCGCAGCTCCATCCCCTGCCACTTTCTTCTCCATGTTTTCCGTAGTGCAACCACTCTCAACCTCAGCTACAACGTCATCTTGCTTTACTCCTCCTTCTGTATTAGATCCTTGTTTCTGAGGTTGTTCAGAGAGGTTGCTTTTATCCGAGGCAATGTGTAGACCCTTACTAGTATACTCCGTGTCTACAGTCCTTATTACATCCTCCATAGGAGCACAGCTTCGCGTGCCGCTGACATCCTCATCATAATAATTATCCGAGTTCACGTGAATATTAGCCAAGCGTTGTGTGTGCAACGTAGAGAGCGCCAATGCATCGCCTGTTTGCTGGCTGTGTGTCTCACTGGCAGGCGAAGCAGTAATAGCGGTTTCCACATTAGCATTTTCACCGTCGATGACTCGCTCCCCCTTCGGATTACATACCCGCGATTCTTCGCCGGTCGATTCGGGTCTCAGAGTCAATAATACCCCCGTCAGTCTGTCAGGCTCCGTTTCTTTATCGTGAACACGATCCGGTATACTGGTCGACTGATTGTCAGGTAAACTATTCCTCTTACCATCGTCTATTGACGGACTAACAAAGCCTAAATGTAAGCGAATGTTTTCCATACTCCGACTTCTTTCCACATTTTGTTCAAGCCCACTGCCATAACCCCCGTCCCCATTCTCACTCTTTCTAATTTCACTTAATATTGATTCAAGGGATTTATTAAGGTGTTTCGAATCGGTAGGTCGTGGGTCCAAGCCTATCCTCGAGCCCCTTTCACTACTTTCCTTTGACCCAATCGACCCGTTCACAGGCACCTCGTCTCCGCCATTCTCGATCCTCTGATCGCCCTCTTCCTCGTCGTCGAAATACGTTACGTCATAGTCATCGATCTCCCCCAGCGCCCCTAATGAGGATAGATCCGTGTAAGTCGCATAAATGGAGGCGTCGAACGCTCGTGGTTGCAAGGTGGCCGTAAACTCCGCTTCCCGTGCTCGTAATATCAGATCATCGCCTTCATATCCGTCCAGCGCCCCTCCCCCATTCGTCTCTGGTTCGAACACAGCTGGCATGAAATCAGGAATATCCAAAGCCATGGGGGCGTTTTGAGTTCGTGGACGGGGCGTCGATGTAAATAAATCCATAGCATGTGTACTTGACGAGGTCATTGTGAAGGTCGTCGAGGTGTCTTTAGATCTTACTTTCCTTTCCTCAACCACCGAGGCCGAACGAACAATTCCTTCATAATTTGATCCACTTGTCCGTTGATGTGTAGTCCCTGCATTGTTATTATCATTTACTCGGTAACTAGACAAGATAGTTGGCTCAGCTTCTGTCTCACACTCTGACAGCGGGTTCATGTCCCCATTTTTACCCCGTGTTGAACCAGGGTAGCCCCGTTGCTTGTGCGCGTCTCCTTGGTGTTCACCGACGCTCGGCACACTCATCGTAGTCCGAGGCGTTATACTTGACGTCAGCTCGACACTACTTTCAAACACGGCGGCAATCTCGCCCATGTGTTCCCACCCTGCGATCGCCTTCCGACCTCCGCCGCCGCGTACACTCGCAATCCCCGTCGAGTGCTTTGACGTGTCTTGAGCATTCATAGCTCGCGACGGTTTTGACAAACACCAACAAAAGAGAGCAACAGCAGGCGCATTCCATTCAACGGAATCTTGTTCAATTCAAACACTGATTTTACGTTCTTTGTCCCTCGTAAATCCTTTATTATCTGCCAAAGCGTCCAGTCGCTGTCAGCTTTACTTCTATTTATTCCTCCCCGCTTTCTACATACTCCAATGCACAGACTCATAACACGGAAGAGAGCATGCACTTTGAAACTTCAGTCTGCAGGTTGCTGCCGAATCAAAATGCCGGTAAAATGTCAACAAAAGTCCGACCTCCTTCTAACTTGTAGTGTCTCAAGTCAAGCACTGCTATAAACAAAATCTCTCTGATTGTAGCAAGTAAGCAAGCTAGTCGCTGTGTAAGCGTTGCCAATAATCTTTGCCTCTAAATACGCTCATAATTCAGTAAGTGTTCCTTGCTCTCTCGGTGTCGACATCTTGATTAGGATTCATTCCCCATCCACCAATCCAATCGAAGGCAGGTAAATATTAAATCATAGCGAAAATATTTGTTTCTATTGCCCCGGGCAAGTGGCAGTCTGGCTGGCTTACTGGCTTGCAGAGCGCGGGATATAGTGTTTTCTCGTCAGCCGACAGTCAGAAGTCACGTCACCAAACCGGAGAGATATCCCCTGCATCAAAAGACAGAGAGTAAAATAAAAAGATAGAGAGAGAGAAAAGTACATATTCTCATGTTACGGTAGGCTTACACATCCAACAAACATGTGTCTTTTCTAGAGGCGACCAGTACATTGAGAGAAGGAAACTAGCCCATGATTCGATCGATGAGACCGAGGCGAAAGAGAGACGATGAGATACCGATTTAACCAATAAGAAAATAATAAAAATACTAAGCATGAATTTCGACGTAAATTATTCGCAGACAGACTCGGGGTGATCTCAGGCCCTGATATGAAGTGAGTGAGAATTGAAAATGAAGAATCAAGCGAGCCTTGCTGGCATGCAGGCTGGCAGAGAAGAAGGAGAAGAACATAAAAGAAGATTGGAGGGGGGAAATTAGAGTGGGGTATTTTTAGTTCCACTTTGTTTAGGGGACCCCTTTTGGGCGGTCGCATTTTATGACACAACTGAACAGGATGTGCGAGCTGAAACTGAGCGGAGGGACAAGGCACAGTGCCAGAAAGTGGCTAGAGTTAGCAAGAAGAAGCCCACTCAAATTATAAAAATAAAATGCAGATCAAAATCTGGGTTTAGAGCCCTTTTTTATGTTCGGATATTAAACTCAAAGACTACTAGGAATTTGGAACTCTGATAACATTGTTTGATAAACCTTATGATATGGATTGAAAGGGTGATAAAGTCTTATTGAATACTTCCAAGCATCTTTATGGGGTTAATAAAGAGTTTGCAAACCACATGAAAGGCTAGGAAAGTTACGTTATAAATATCCATCGGTATCTGGGGAAGTCCCCTAATGAAAAAAACAAAAACACAATCTGAACCCGATTCCAGGACCCAGGTATGAAACATCTCTACTTGACAATAATGATAAGCTTCGATAATTATGGGATATGAAATAAAGAATTTGAAAATGCAGCATATTCTACCGTGAAACCGTTTTTAGTGACGTGTACATTAATTGACAAAGATAATTAAGGTCGCTAAATAATACATTTACCTTCAAGTCAATTTTTTGTACTAAAAGGCTACACGAAAAATGAAATGAAAAAATATTACATCACAGCAGTGATGCCGAAATGATTTTAAGTGTAGGTTTATCTAATAACACGAAAGATATATAATATAATCGCTACTCCCTAGTCAATAGTTATTATTTGAAAAGAATTATTGATTAAGTCATAAGAGAAGAACCTAAAACCCGTTCATCCACACCAGCCAAACACCACTTCCCCTCCCCCTTCCCCCTCTCCCCCTCCCCTTTGCCACTCTCCTCTCCCGTCCCCCTCTACCATCCTCCTCCTCTTTGCCCCTCTCCCCTCCCCTCCCTCTTGTCCCTCTCCCCTCCCCTCCCTCTTGCCCCTCTCCCTCTTTGCTCCTCTCCCCTCCCCTCCCTCTTGTCCCTCTCCCCTCCCCTCCCTCTTGCCCCTCTCCCTCTTTGCTCCTCTCCCCTCCTCTCCCTCTTGTCCCTCTCCCCTCCTTCTTGCCCTTCCATTTGACACTCTCCTCTCCCTTCCCCCTCTACCACCTCCCCTTACCCTCTTTATCCCTCCTCTCCTCCCCTCTCTTACCCCTCTCCCTCTCCCCCTCCCCATTGCCACTCTCCTCTCCCGTCCCCCTCTACCACCCTCCCCTCCCAGCCCCTTCCCCCTGTTCTCCCATTACACCCTTCTGTCTATAGATCCTCTGAATGAATCTATATCCAGTTATTCAATATCGACACCTGTTGAATGTGTCATGATTCTCTCAATGTCCGTACCACTTTAGCATTGCTTCTGTTAAGTTTGAACACACATGGGACGAGGAGTGAAGTATATCTTTACAAAAACCGTGAAATTTACAGAGACATTTTGAGTTCTGGTGAAGATCATAACTTGTGAGCTTTCTCGTGCTTTAAAGCCCGTCTGTACTAGTTTGGCCAGGAGGGATTAGACCACACAGCGTGGTCACTAACTGGTGGCTCTCTCATCAACTCAGCTCTAAATTAACATCAGAAAAAGAGGATCATGGGGGACCTACGGGTATCGCTTAGGCATTGTTTTCTATATAGAGGGCGCAAGTAGCTATAAGTAGTACAATGGATCTTAAACGTCAGTTTGGATCCTGAACAGGATTGCTCTTAAATTGCAATCGAATCTAAACTATGAGGAGAAATAGCTGAAAAATATGGACCAAACTTTCATGCCACAATCATATGAACCATTTCTGTGTGCAGAATATCTGTCTTTTAACAAGATTCAGTCAATTTAATGTCATCCAGATAGTCCCAAAGCGTACATTATACAATGATTTATACTCTGTAGTACATAATAAACCTTTTGACGCCCTTTACATTATAATCGCATGACCAGCACTCAAATTTACCTTTACATTTAGGCATAAAATATTATTAAATCTGGAGCCTTCCATCTTGCCCCCATCTCAAAACAAAATAATACTGAAAATAGTTCAAAAGAGTAAATGTTCAAATCGTTGCAGACACTCTGCCAATATTGACAATCCATTTTCCCATTATATCATACTACAGCCGCGCATCGCTGTCCCAGGTCTTAATAGAATAGTTGCTTCATGTTCACACAGCCCGTTCAAGAGGGTTGACATTTGCTGTCTAACACATGACGGGAGTAAATTAGAAAATTATGTTATAATGGGAGGGGATTTTCTTCTTTTTTTGCTGACTAGGTTGAGATTGACATTACAGTTATTTTCGGCAGCGTCATGTGTTTGCACGAGTGGGCAGCTCTACCTTGGACGGGGTTCAACATTTATATCTTAACAACCTTAATGTAATCCGAAAGAGATGTGGCGAATTCTGCTTACTTCATGCGATCATGTAATGCAATTCCTCATTATGAGTGTAATTATTAAGAAATAAAGCAGGTAAACTCACAAACTGTATGAACAAAATGTTACTTTTATGTGTAGATATACCCTTTTGGTTAAATACTTGGTAAGGAAGTGTATGGATTAGATTTAATACCGTACAACTTCATCAATATCGAGAGGATCTAATCGAAAACAAATATCCTTAATAGCAGGCACAAATTTATATTTTTAAAGGTAATTTAAAACGTATTTTTAACTGAACGAGAGACAGAGAGAGGGAAAGAGGATGAAGTAGGAGGATTACGAACAAATTTATAAAGAAATGGAAAGAGGGTTAACAAAATACCGCAAAGGGATGATAACGGAATAGAATAAAGATGGAACAAGAGTTTGACATTAAGAAATGCTTTACAGCCTATGACGTCATCAACTCAATCTTTGTCAGCAAAAGACAACGGATATATCGGTAATGAATATGACATTCAATTTGACAGACTTCATTTTCTCCATTTCATTATGGACCCAGACTCTTTTCTGATCTGTATCTGCAATGTAATTTTGTTAGGTACATGGGCGACGCATCTGGGCAGGGAGGGGTGGTGCAAATCAATTTCAAAATTTTCAATTGGCTTCTGGGCGGGGAGGGGGTGGTGTAATCCATTTCGAAATTGTCCATCAACAAAGTTTGATTTTTGTTTTGTTTCGAACCTTGTCGGCAATTTACAGTTTTTTTTAGGGGCATTTTATACGAAGATATAATCCGATACCCCTCCCCCTCATTTTGAATGGTCCGATGACGCCCTTAACTGAAGAAGGATGCTTAAAACCTCATTAATGTGATCAGTCATTTACAAATTAGAAAGAGGATCCCAGATCCAGAAAGATTCTGAAAGGAAAATCATGTCTCCAAGAAAAAGGGGTTATACATCTTAAATTTTTTAAAAGTTATATTTCGTTTAAAAATGTCAAAATTCATTGTCTTTATAAGCTCAATATATAATCGTCTCTTTCGTTGATGACACATATCGAAAATAAAGAAGGAAAAACGGACATTACTCAGACAGTTCAGACTGATCAACATCAAAATAAAAATCCTTGTTCCAGCAACACTTACCGTTATAAAGGGGATTACGTCATCAAATCAACCACAGAGCGAGGATATGTCGATCTAAAAAGAGAATACAAAAATAAATTAAATTCTAGTTTTAATAATAAAATGCAACATATCATTTATGGTTTAACCATTAGTAATGTGAAACATACATCTGCTAATTTTGTTATTATCTTATTCTTTTTTGGTTGTTCAAACAACATAGTACAAGAAATATAATACACTGTACAAGATACGGGTCATGCCTGTACTTATTATGAGCGCATTATACGAGGGCGTGCTTAATATGCTCAAAATGGTGAAAAACAACTTAAAGAGAAGGTTGAGTTCTGGGAAGAGGTGAAAAATAATTTGTGAGCATTACTCATTCTTATTATGCAAGTGTGGAAGAACATCAGTTAAGACATGTTTCCTGAAAAGCATGGCTCTTCAAATGCCTTCATATTCTAAATCTGCATGTAACATCGTAAAAATCGGGGCCGGCTTTTTACGCCACGTGTTCGTGTAGTCCCATATACATCTTTCTGTGCAAGTGTTTGTAACTTTACCAAGACTTGGCCAAATTTCTTATCATTTTGATGATTCCAGAACCTTGTAATACACACAAATTCTTATATGCTAGATGATCAACCTTTTCTGGTCGGTTCCACACCGTTTCTTTCACAATGCAATCGCATGACCAGAACTCAACTTCATCTTTAATGACTAACAAAATCTAAATCAGGACATAAATGTAATCATACGTGTAATTTTAAGTCATTATATCTTCTCCACCCGAATTCATATTTAAAGTTTTCAAGGAATTCCAAGAGTAGGAAATGGTCACTTGATTGATGACGTATTGGTCTATGCCTGACCTATGATCAAGTGATCTTACCGTCATTGACCACTTTCCCTGCGGTTTTCTTTTCCTTCTTCCTCTTCTTTTTAAAATTTGATATTTCTTCAATCATCAGATGATCAGATCTTAGATAAATCCCATCTCGTGATAGTCTAATTCGCCTTTCCACAGATTTATGAATTATTTTGACGTCGTGTGCGCACATGACACCGTCTCTCTAGGATAAATATAGTATTTTTAAAATGACTGCCAATAACATGTTCGGTCATTAGATGAGATTATGAAACATGAAAATAATCCATCATGAGTAGAGACTATCACTATAGTTGAAAGTTTTGACAGTATTTCGTAACACCCAGGGAAGTAAATGAAAAAGAGGGTGGAGCAAAGTTATCATGCTACATGTATGAATAATTTTAGCCTTAGAACGGTCAAGGTCAATTAAATAGGGTAAGCGAGTAACAAGTTAACAGCACGATCGCACAGAATTTCGGAAATCAGCTCAAGGGCAATTTCAGTACCGAATTGTGTAGTCCCACAGAAATCATGTTCGGATTACGTAATACGTCATTGTAATATCGCACATTTGAAAAGGTGCAGGACAATGTTATTGAAATTGCCTTAAATTTAAACTCCAGTTCTGTTAAAAGTAAAAAAATGATTCTCACAGAATCAAACGAAACTTACACTGAATGTTCAAGATTACAAATAAATGACATGTGCCAAACAATTTTGGAAGAAAATGTATACTGGCTGAGTAATGAGCATAGAAAGACAAGGAAATCAAGGTAGTACTAGCCCCGACACCATGTGTGTTGTCCCATATATAGCTTTCTGTGTACAGTGCTTGTTACTTTACCAAGACTCGGTCAAATTTATTATGATTTTGATGACTCCAGAACCATGCAGTGCACACCAATACTTACATGTTACATGATCAACTGTTTCTGATCCTTTCCACACCTTTTCTTTCACAATGCAATCGCATTACCAGTACTAAAGTTTATCTTTAATCACAGGGAAAATGTAAATAATTATAGGTGGGGGTATAGAAATGACTTGCCGCACTTCTACCCCACCCCTATCGCACCACCTCCTACAGCGCCCCCCCCCCCCAACCCCCTTTCTCCGTAGCTCATCCTTGCATTCTATAAATTTATTTCACACAAAATGTGCTGCACACCAAAGTAAATAGCCATGTACACAAATATGAGATTGCACCTCACGGGGCCTCAACATTTTGTTCAAGATCATATATTTGGAATATGAGGGCATGACATGCACTATCATTATTATGTGACATTCCTAATATAATGCATTTAACAAGAAAGAATGAGAAATCCACAGATTGTATTGTTCACTTTTTACAGAAACTCCATCTTCTAGTCAAAGAATCATTAGCGCATATGGAAAGAATACTGAAGACAATAGCACAATACGTGATCGCATTCAAGGGCCGCCAGAGTCTTCCGATCAAACAAATTACATGGACATGTACAAATGATTGTCATTTAAAAAGTTCGTTGATCAACTCTTTCATTTGTCTTACCTTCCATCAACGGAAACAGTAGATGACTAACGGTGTTCAGTCATTTCACAAGAAAGGTCATTTCCTCATAGTTATATCAAAGACATCATGATTGTTATAAATGTTCAAATACCCAAGTCGTCCCCCCCCCCCCCCCCACCCCAGAGAAAAGGCTCTCACTCCTCTAAATGTATGTTGGTATGTCTCTTGTCTGAATGAAACCTCTCTACCGCCCTCTCTTACCTCTTTTCTATTTTTGTCTTTCTTTTCTCCTTCCCACACCCCTCCCCCTCTTCTCCCCCTCTTCTCCCCCTCTTCTCCCCCAACCCCTACCCCCCCCCCTCTCTCTCTCTCTCTCTCTCTCTATCTCTTATTTATTTCTCTCTTTCTCTCTACCCCCCCCCCCCTCCCCTCTCCTCTCCCCCCCCCCCCCCCCCCCCCTCTCCTCTCTCCCCTCTCCCTCGTTTACCTCACCACTGTTAATTAAAGGTGTATAAGGCTTTCCAAAATAGATGTTTCAAATTCACATGAAGAAAATAGAGGAGATATGGGAATGAGATATTCAAAACAATTTATATCTAATATCTAAATACTGCTATTTCCCCGTTGATTTCAAGGATATAGCATGTCGCATATACATGCGCACGTGAGTAAATGTGAAGAAATCCCCTCATCAAATGTTCGTCAACTTCGTCACCTTCCTAAATATGATCTAGACTTTTATTAAAATATCTTCTTTACCTGTTCATTGACAGCTTTATTCCAATTGTATGATTATTATTTCCTGGGTATGATTATAATCCAAATTGCATGAGTAGGGTGTTCACATTCCAGTCAAAGCTCCGAGACCTCCACGATCATGAACTTGTCCTTAAAATCCAAATCAAACCAACCAATCAATCACAACATAGTCCTGAGCATGTGCTTAGAGGGAATCACCGAAGACGTCTGATATAGCCAATACTCCAAATGAAAAATCCTGAAACCAACCAAGGATAATCTCTGACACTCAAAGTTTCACCGCTTAAAATATTCCCTTCAAACTCTCCCAAAACTGACTTATCGAGTGATATTCACGCTGGGAATGGGGTAAAAGAAAACCCACTTTGACAGTTTTGATCGCTCCGATGAGTTTAATAGACGAAGGAAGTTCAGCTCTCCAATGTCTGGGGTGAGTAATACGATTCAAGTTTGGATTTGGCATTAATCAAGTTGGACAGGGTCCCCAGTCCCTATGGTGCAGGGGAGGGGCATGAGGGAGTGGGGAGGGGGGAAGAAGGGGGCGAGATGTATATAAATAAATATATATACATGTTGAATAAAACAAACAGTAGCTTACTCTTGGTACACGACACAACATTACTTTTCTGATCGGATTACTAGATACAGTTTGGGGTAAGTTGATCCTGCGTTTCTGTCTTGCGCAATGATAAACACTCTTTAAATACATGGGAGAGAGAGAGACACACACACGCGCGCACACACACACACAACACACGCACGCACGCACACTCACACACACACACACACACACACACACAGACAGGGATAGACAGAGAGACAGACAAATAGACAGAGAGGACAAACAATCAAATTATGACCTGTATTAAACCTGTGTTGTGCCAAGAATAAGTCTCCATTCTTTTGTTCACTTATTATTTACTTATCATTTACTCATATTTTGGCACAAAAATGTCTATTTAGATCCCATACCATGACATAAATGTTATAACAAATGCCAAGAACGAATATGTTTCTCAACCATAGCAGGGTTGAAAGAAACAACTACAGATAAAATGAGCTCTTAAATACTATAACGTTAGGGGCAATTAACTAACCAGGTATCAGAAAGAACTCACCTGGGGGGGGGGGGGCGTTTCATGAAACAATTAGTCGATGTTTTTCACCGACTAATATCATGTTCACCAACAATTTAGTTAGCGCTGACTAAATTTGACCAATCACAGGCCTGGAAAATATTCGGTGACAAAAACATTGTCGTTGAACATGATATTAGTCGGTGAAAAACACCGACTAATTGTTTCATGAAACGCCCCCCTGATAGTAGATGATTTCGATTATTGTTATCCTCTGATTCCCGTCAAATTGACAACTCATTAAAAAGCGATGACCCCCCCCCCCCTCCCCCACGCCCTTCATCACTACCCTTGTACGCTAGCCATATTAGTTTCGTACAATATTGACTTTTTAGAATATTAAAAAAAAGGTTAATCCGAATCCCCCAATGTCCTTCAACTATCAATTAATGATCTCTTCTCAATGAGCTTGAAGAAATTACATCAGGGGATTTTCACATTTACCAAAGAGCAGCCTATAATCCATGCATATTAAATCGAAGCATGTTAAATTTTCCTCAGAAAGCGAGATGACACGACATCGGAAATATAAAATCCCCCTTTTCGGAAAACCTCACGATGTGGGGCAAGTAAAGGGAGATGTTTTAAGCACAACAAACATGACCCAAGGGAAACTTCAACTTCAATGTTCATCCACTATGAGTCATTGAAATAAGAAAAAGCACCGACTGATATAGTCCAAAATATTACATCATCAAAGAAAGTCAATAAATAATTATAACAATTGAGTGGGGGAAACACGGGAAAGTGACGGGATAACCTTGTGTAAGAACAGTTACAATTATGATGATGACAAATATACTGTACAATATTAGAACT